CAAAAAAAAAAAAAAAAAAATCAATGTCTTATGCTGGTTTGAACTTGAGGCATAAGATGTGTCCATTCATCACTGGTTCCCAAACACGCCCCCTCCCAGCATTGACGGGGTACGAGCTATGTCGTCTTTCTGCGCCATTGCCACTAGGTGGGGGCAGTTGTTAAGTGTAAACCTTTTGCTTTTCCTAGTTGAAATTTGAAAAAAACTGTAGAACTTTTAAGGGTATTTACCTAGTTTAAGCCCTACTTGTAATATTGTAGGCACAAAGGTGTTGTTAAGTGAGCCATTCACCACGTACGTCGGGCCTCGGCAGTGCACCTCACGGCAGCTCTGGGAGACCCAGCCCAGCCGGTTTTCTGGTTCAGCATTTAAAATGGCCTTGGCCTGGTTTAGCCATCAGTACATGAGCCTAGATTATGAAAACCTTTTCCCTTCAAACTAGGGATCCTCTTTTCTCTCTACTGTAGTGTAAATATGAAATTTTTTATGTACTCAGTTATTTCAGCAGCTGACTTGATTTATAATGAGATAGGAAGACAAGTTACTATAGATATTGTTAATCGATCCACTTCTAAAGAAATGAATATTCCTATGTGGTTTCTAAAGCTCATTCTTCTGCCTTACGGGAGGTCTTCAGATGAGTGTTTCTGTGTGTGTTCGTTGAGCAAGCTTTTCCTGAGCTGCTGCCTAGTGCCAGGTGCTGGGAACAGAAAACAGAGCAAGACGAAGCCATGCGCTGGCAGAATTCTCAGATGTGGGGGTCTGTGCTGGGTTGGGTGGGGCAGGTGGTCAGAGTGGGTGCCTGCGGTGGCGGTGCGTCAGGACATAGCAAGGTTTCACAGAGGAACCTGGTCTGCTTTAACTCCTCCCTTAAATCTGTTTGTCCTCTGTGTCCCCCAGTCACCCAAGACAGCTGGGAGTCATCCTTGAAGCCTCCCCATGTCCAGTCCTTTACTAAGTTCTGGGCACTTTTTGTCACTAAGATCCATCTCAGACCGTTGTTTCCTTTTGATCACCACTGTCACCTGCCTAGTCCGGGCCACCACTAGCTCCTACCTTGACAGCAGCTTCCTTTCCTCTCCCTTCTAGTTCTGTTCTAGTCCAGTCTCGGTTTGAAGGCCAGACCCCACAGGGCCTCACGCGCCATGAGTGGAATTCAAAGTCACTTTTAGGTGCTAGAGAAAGTTGGTGAGCGCTTTCCTTGGGGGGAAACCTGGATATGCTCTGCCTTGCACTCTGGGAAGGTACCTTTTGGGGTGCTGCGCGTGGATTGGTGGGGTTCAGAACCAGGAGGGACAGCCGTCACTATGCAGAGATCTCTGCACAGTGGACAGGTGCAGCGAGGGGAGATGGGGTCAGAAAACGGGCATTTGTTCAGTGACCTCACACTTCGGGGCACCTCCCTTGTGCTATCAATGTAGTGGTCCAGACAGGGACAAGTGAAGGCCCAGCCCTTGTAAAGAGTAGACAACAAATAAGGAAACAGATTGTTTACAGACTGTGCCAGTGCTGGGAAGGAAATAAACAGGGTGCTGTGATACAGCAGACAGAGGGACCTGATTTACAGAGGGGGTCACAGATACCCTGGGGCGTTGATGTTGATGCTGAAGCCCAAGGGCCGAGGAGCTGGGAAGAGCTTTCTGGGCGGAGGGAGCAGCCTTTGCAGCTCCTCTGGGGGCAGGAAGGAACTTGTTGTGTTCAGCAAGGCAAGCTCCAGGTGGGCGATGATGGGGACAGGTGTGGGGAGCGAGGTGGGGACTGGGTCAGGTGTGGCTCTGTGTGCAGAGGGGGCGGTGATGACTGCCTGGTGTGGGGGGGAGTGTAGGAAGCCCATGTGGGGAGGAACCCCAGCTTTGATATCATATTTGCCAAGAAATAGCCGGCTGGGGGGACGTAGAGGGAAAGCAGTCCCTGAGAGACGAGTGTGGTTTCTGCCTCTGCGTGTCTCCGCCACCCGCCGCCTCCACTGTGTTGTGCTGCGATGGTTGGTTTGTTTTTGAGGCAGCAGAGGGTGTGGGCTTGCGGAGGTCAGGCCATTTCTGCCTTGGTCATTGCTGCACCCCCTTGCCCTTCCCCCAGCATTTACAGAATTTACTCGAGCATTGGTCGTAAAATAGAAATGTGAACAACTAGCATTCACTCTGACATCTCCCTCAGCACTTACTTAAGGTCTTAGCAGCTGCATTTAACTTAGGCATATTTGTTTTGTTTCAACAGGTTTCATTTCACCTTTTGCTGTGCCCGGTGTCTTTAATAGCACCATAAGGTGCAGAGCTTGGAGGGCCTAGGAAATGGTTCTGAATGCTGTATCTACAGTGTTTTTTTTTAAATTGAATTTTTAAAAAAAAATTTATAGGAGACTAATAATATGCTGTAACAGTGAATTGAATTGCTGAGTAGTAGTCATTGTCGTCGCATAGCCCATGAGGATGTGACCTTTTTTCATTTTTGCCCTGCAGGTCATTACAGCTACTCTGAGAGTCGCGTGGAAAAGGACGGCCTGATCCTCACGAGTCGCGGCCCCGGGACCAGCTTCGAGTTTGCGCTCGCCATCGTGGAGGCCCTGAGTGGCAAGGAGATGGCAGATCAAGTGAAGGCTCCACTTGTTCTTAAAGATTAGAGCAGAAAAAATTTGGCCCTCAGAGAAGTAGGCCACGTGTAGTCCATTCTCATTGTGTTCTCTAAAAAAATTGGTAGGTTAACGTGCCCAGCAGCTGCCCTCGGTGCTGCGTTTGTGGAGTACAGTCGTGAAGTGACGGCTCCACCGAGATCTCTCAGCCCACAAGTTGTGTCTGTACATTTCTGAGCCTTGTTTGCACAATAAACGGAATTTAGCAAACCACTGATTGTTCCTTCTTTTGTCTTTTTTGTGAGACCAGGTTCATCATCAGCTTCATTTGCAGCTCGTAACTGTCCGTGTCGCTACCGAGAGACAAGAACAGCGAACGCGTTGTGCACGGCAAGGAGGAAAAGCATAAAAGCAAAATGTTAAGAGGCTTGTGATTTTCTCCCGTTTATTCTAATGTGCCGTTAAAAAATACCAATGAAGCTGGCTGTCACGGTGAATTTTTCTAAACCAGTTCTCTTTTTCCCTCGTGGAAAGAGCCCTCGGACAGAACTGAGACTTTCCAAGTCCCAGCGCCCGTTTTCCTTCCTCAGACGATAGTGCCTGGCATTCCTTAGGCTCCACCCAGTGCCTGCTGGGTGGGCACGTGACCAGGCCCAGCCAATCAGAGCCCTCTGGTCCCCTCACCACGTGACCCAGGTGAGCACCCAGGTGAGAACAGTCAGTTGATGAGACTCAAGTGTAGGGCCTCTGTCGTGGCTGCTGGTATTCTGTATCCTGGAGTGGCCAAGGGGATACGCTGTCCACCTGCAGCCGCGGGCAGCTGTCTTGTCACTGTGAGGAAGGAACCTGCCTGAGGATGGCCGACCCCTGGTTTAGAAGGCAAGGCAGATGTTCATTTTTATAATGCGAACACATGTAATTACACATGTTGACAAGCACTGTGTAAGAAAATGCTAAGGGGGAGAGGCTGCATGGCAGGGTGGCGTAGGGTAGTCCTCTGAGGAAGCGACGTGTGAGCTGCCAGCTGGAGTAAGAGTAAGGCTCAGATTCATCAGTCAGTACCTGCTGTGTGCCAGGCCTGTGCCTGGTGCTGGAAATAAGCCGTGGAGAAACGCAGTCTGTCCTCGAGCTTTTAATGTGGGAGAGGAGGGAGAGAGACGAAAACTGATTTAAAAATATGTACGTTCTATGAAAAAAATGGATTAGAGTAAGGAGGCAGTGACGGGGATATTTTCTGCGTGATAGTTAGAGAAGGCCTCTCTGAAAAGAGGTCTTGGGGGAAATCTGAGCAAACAGGTGTGACAGAAACAAGCAGGTGTCTGTTAAGAGCATGCCAGGCAGAAGAGACAGGAAGTGCAAAGGCCCTGAGGTAGGAGTGTGCTTGGGGCATGGAGAAGCAGTGGGGGCAGGCTAAGGCGGAGTGGGTAGGAGGTGACCTTGGAGAGGTAGCCAGAGCCTAGTGAGCTGTCAAGACCTAGAATTGACTCAGGGATGGGAACCTTGGAGGAGAGACCTGACCCCAAGGCTTGCTCTGAGGAGAAGGGGCCCTTGGGAGCAAGCGCGCTCCCCAGGGCAGGATGCTGCGGCTGGTGGGGCAGCAGAGTGGGGGCCCAGGTGGGCCGAGAGGAAGGGCATTGAGGGCAATTCCCACATTCTGACTTGAACACAGGTCAGGTGGAGTTTGTGTGTCCCGAGCTGGTGAAGGAGCCCTTGGGGAAGGCATGGAGGTGAACTTAGGGTTCACATTGGTGAATTGAAGATGTCCATAAAATACTCTCAATAAGGAAAGAAAAACTGGAGACTTGTTACTTTGAACGTCACAAGTTGCGGATCTGAAAGTCACTTGTTAATAGCGTTTTGTAAACTCTCCGAAGTCAGCTAGGTGTTTTGCCAGCAGCCCCTACCTCTGAATAAGCTCCCTGGAATTTTAGAGATATCCACAGGAAGGGAGATAGGGAAAGAGATTAGCTCTTTGAATTTTTGTGCCCTCGGGGCAGCAGGAAAATGTGGTTCTAGATGGACATTTCTGAAGAGCACGTCTAAGGTCTAAGAGAAATCAGAGTGTTATCTGAGCCGGCCTGGTGGCCGAGGTTTCTTTTCATGACAGTGTGTGTGTGGTGGGGGGGGGGAGGTCTTCAGCAACCAGTTTTATCTAAACCGTGGGCCTTTACTGGCCCTTCTTGAATTACCAGCTTTCGGCATGTTGATAACATTTAAAAAGCCTCCACCCTCTCTATCTGCCCCTTCTTTCCTAGGCTAAACAAACCTGCTCTCTAACTTCTGGTAAGGAAGGGTGGGGGGTCAAAGAAAGAAAAACTGGGAACCACGGTGGGAGGAGTGCTGCGGACACTTGAAAAGTGACCTGGAGTTAGAATTCAGGTGTGCGGGGATGGCGTGACTGACTCAGCCAAGCCACCGGTCAAGTTCACTTTTTTTTTTTTTTTTTTTTGAGACAGAGTCTCACTGTGTTGCCCGGGCTAGAGTGCCGTGGCGTCAGCCTAGCTCACAGCAACCTCACACTCCTGGGCTCAAGCGATCCTCCTGCCTCAGTCTCCCAAGTAGCTGGGACTACAGGCATGCGCCACCATGCCCGGCTAATTTTTTCTATATATTTTTAGTTGTCCGATTAATTTCTTTTTATTTTTAGTAGAGACGGGGTCTCGCTCTTGCTCAGGCTGGTTTCGAGCTCCTGAGCTCAAACAATCCGCCCGCCTTTGCCTCCCAGAGTGGTAGGATTACAGGCGTGAGCCACCGCGCCCGGCCCAAGTTCACTCTTAGAGACAGCAACCGCAGCTTTGAGGGCCCAAGTGGCTTGCCCAAGGCCGCTTGGAGAGTTAGGAAGGAGCTGAGTCTAGAAACCCAGTTTCTTGCAGGACAAGCAACTGACTCAAAGCGGTGGCTTGCTGGACAGGAGGCAGCGAGCCCCGGACGAACAGAATTCCCAGAGGCCCTGGTCAGGGCGTTGATCGAGGGAAGTGATGGCCAAACTGCTCTTCTGAAGGGAGGTTTGTTTCCTGGTGCTAAATAGTACAACAGGGAAGAGGCCAGGGCTTACCGAGCACCGGCTGTGTACCGAGCACCTCGCTAGGTGGTCAGCTTCCTTTGTTGGGGTTTCTTGTTTGTAGATGTATTTTCTTTCACACTTTATACAAAAGGGATCATATTATATCCAAAATCTCAAAAGGGATCACACTGCCCGCTCCTTGCTTTGTCACTTACTATATCTTAGAGAGCTTTTCCTCTGCCAATATGTGGACACACACGCGCTCGCTATGTCATTCAACTCAGTTCTACCAACAGCCCTACAAAGTGGCCGATGGTGTTGTCCGTTATAAAAAGAAGAAAAATAGTCTTTTCAGAGATCAAGAACCTGTCTGTCTGTGCCACAGGATTGTCGTAAGAATCAAAGGCTACAATAATAAAAGGGGAGATACGTTGTTTAGACCATGAAACGTGAAATATAAAAGCATCATTTTAGTGTAGCCAAGTGTATCATCTTAGAGTCTGGTGACGTATTCTATATTCTGGAGTACTGATTCCCTAAGGAATGAGGAGAACATTTAATTATCCTGAACAATCACCCCGTCATTGTTTTAGAAAATGCCCTGCCTTTGCCCTTAGTAAGAGTAGGCAGCATCAGGGACCTTGGTGCCCGAGGAGCAGGAGCGGGTCCGGGCTGCTCTCAGACACCTGCCTATTTATCAGCTACAGCATCTGCCCTCATGAACTTTCCATGACTTTCCGGTCCGTCAGTGAGGTGCAGAGGAAGGGGCTATTCCTTTCACATCTGGGCTGGACACACTCTTCGTGATCCCAGTGTGGGGTCTTTCTGGAGCTGGTCCTTTCCCCAGACCCCAGCTTGAGTCCCAAGGCATCCAGGCTGAGCCAAGCACTCCCATGCTTGGAAGAGTGGGAATGATGGATTCACCATCACCACCACCATCACCACCATCATCACCATCGTCACCATCACCATCATCACCACCACCATCATCATCATCACCATCACCACCACTATCATCACCACCATCACCACCATCATCACCATCGTCATCATCACCATCATCACCATCTACCACCATCACCATCACCATCATCACCACCACCATCATCATCACCATCACCATCATCACCACCACCATCACCGTCATCATCACCACTATCACCACCTCCATCATCACCACCACCATCATCACCACGATCACCATCTCCACCACCATCATCACCACCACCACTATCACCACCATCATTACCACCATAACCATCTCCATCACCACCATCACCACCATCACCATCACCATCAAAATCATGACCATCATCACCACCATCACCATCACCATCACCACCATCATCATCTTCTTCACTTCCTGCAGCTTGCATGGGCTGTTTCAGGTTCCCAAACAAGTCCCAGGCCAGCTGTGATCATCAGATCAGACCCATCTCCCCGAGGGGCTGCACACCTGCTGGGCCTTGGCAACTCAGCTGCTGGAGCTGAGTTGGAGCTCAGCTCATGGAGCTGCTGGAGTTTGTTTTTCAGTCCTGCATGTGGTCACATCCTCAGGTTTTCTTTTTTAAAAAGTATTTTGTTTTTTCATTCAGCCTGCTCCTGGAGGTTTGTACTTGGCTTAAAAATAATGTTAGAATGGAAAGTTCATTGTCTTAAAAAATAAAGGAGGAAAGACAAAATCATGGGTAAATGGAGGAGCAGCCTCCAGACACAAACCCCAGGTTAAGGATGACAAAATCTGAGTGGCTGTGTGGCAAGAGAGAACCAGGGTCAAGATGTCTTCATTGGACTCCATATCTTTGCTTCAGTGGTTTTCTTTAAAGCCAAGCAGAGGTAAGTAAGCCATAAAAAGTGTGCTTGGGCCGGGCGCGGTGGCTCACGCCTGTAATCCTAGCACTCTGGGAGGCCGAGGAGGGAGTATCAATTGAGGTCAGGAGTTCGAGACCAGCCTGAGCAAGAGCGAGACTCCAACTCTACTTTAAAAAAAATAGAAAAAATTATCCAGGCATGTGCCTGTAGTCCCAGCTACTCAGGAGGCTGAGGCAGGAGGATCGCTTGGTCCCTGGAGTTTGAGGTTGCAGTGAGCTGTGATGACACCACTGCACTCTAGCCAGGGGGACAGAGCAAGACTCTGACTCAAAAAAAAAAAAGAAAAAGTGTGCTTGGCTCAGGTTTCTGCTTTCCAAGGGAGAATAATATTTCAAAGTTTACTGAAGAGAAAATTGTGTTTTGTTTTTAGACTCAGATGGAATGT